TTTCTCCAAATAAATAACCAATTTGCCATATTTCTTATAAAAAGATTTCTCTACTAATTTTGTTACGCCTTTTTCTGTTTCCGTTCAACTAATTTTTTTTTTACAAATTCACAGAAGCCAATGCAGAGGGTTGGACACCAGCGGCATATTTGGAACCGCTCAATCGAAAATCTTCTCGAAGCTCGAGCCGCAATCAGGAGCGAATAAATTTGAGTAAAAACGCCGAGTAATGGGATGCAGCAAGCGAATGATTACGAGCGGAGAATGAGACAGTAAGGCATGTGAACGTTTTGTAAAATTAGCAGATGGATTTGAGGACGTCTTTCGCAAAAATCATATAAAAATTTAGCTACGCAAAGTGAGCATTAAAAAAATTATAACGAAATGTGTGATATGTATTACGATCCACAAATGGAAGGAAGAAATCTGAATGCACCAGAACACTATATACTTCTTCTGCTTTAGCCCTCTGTCGCGCATTATAAAATAAGTCTAAGCTCTAAAATATATTGAATATGTATTCAACAAAAACAAAGCTATTACATATATACATACATTTATGCATAAACATACATTTTAGGCTTTAAATTCTTAACAAATGAACCCCAGTAACAGGAATTCGATTGATATTAAAAGAAAGAAAACAAAATATGAAATCCCATTTACAAACAAATTTCACTCTTGGAAAACTTTTTGAGACTACATACATAGCAAGTATTGCATACAACTAAAAATTAAAATTACAAAATATACAAATATGAATTATTAAGAACGAAATATGCAAAGGCCTACAAAAAAAAATTTACATTCTAAAAAGCTTTAGCTTAATAAAAATTTGATAAAAGCATAAATATGAGTAAAAATCTAAGCGACAGCTTTACAACACTGCTGCATCCTGTTAAAGATTTTACAAAATTAAATTAAATCTTGAAAAACTGACTTGAATCACATCTAGCAATTCTTTTTACTTTCGTAGTTTTGAAAATTTCCTAAAGAGCAAAAAAATTTTTACAAATTTTCTAACGAATGTATACTTATGCAGAATTTCCACTGTGCGCAAAATGACAAATAATTTTAGTGATCAGCTGTAATTAAATTACAAAAGCATGATCATTAAGTCATGGCAGTTTTTAATGACACATATTTTTTCATTCAAATGTCAATTTAGTGGAAATTCGGCATTAGTTTTTACTCAGAATGAATCCAGTTTTCACATCTAGTCTGGCCACATAACAGTAATAGTAATCTATGAATTGTATTACTTGCCTATGAAAATTAATTTTTTTTTAACTATAACAGCCAATTTCACAGAAGCAATTTAAGTGAAAAATGATTTTAATTTTTGGAATTTTATATGGAAATTGACAGAAAATTAAAAATCATTTTCAATTTAAATTGCTAGTGAAACCGACTGTAAAAAAATAAATATAACTCTTCAAAATCAAAATAGCCCCAAATAAAGGTTTACAAAAGGCTTTTCATTGATTTGAAACTCCAATGCAAATCGATTTAAAGTACTTGATCAAAAAAATTAATAAACCTTAAGCATTTACAGATTTTAAAATGTTTATTTACAGTAAAAATATTAACACTCAACTTACCGGGTCATTTACGCACTGAAATATGCGTTGATTTTTGAAAATTGTTTTAATTAATTTATCCGATTTTGGTTTCTAACAGCTGCTATTGGATTTTAGACGAAGCACAATTAAAAGGCAATTTCCGAAAGCGACCATTTCACACCGATTGTTATGTTCAGTGTTTATTTAAAATATAAGTGTTAATTTAGCATGAAATATTCATTAAAATTAAAACATTTTTAACTTAAGAGTTGCTAAATAATTGCGAATAAAGTGCATTAATTTGTTATTAATTTTGTACTATATTAAAAGAAAAACAAAAAAAACTAAAAAAAATCAATTCAATCAATAGTTATTTGTAAATACATAAGCTGCATAAGTAAATGAATACATATTTAAAGATTTAGCTATTTTTATGCATACTTGAGGTATAATTATGTACTTATAAATAGCATACGAAAGCAATATCTATAAAAAAAAAAACAACAAAATAAATATTTACGAATACATGAACTGTATTTACTAAGTTGGCTTACATACATAGATTAAAATATTGTTTATTTATTTTAAGTAGTAAATGAGTTAAGAGAAGAGTTCGTTTATGTACATACATACATACAAATTTAGGAACAACACAAGTGAATTTGTATTAAAAAAAAAAATTAATTTAATTATTATAAAACGAAATACCTTTATACTACATACATACATACGAACATAAGTATATGCGTAAATCTTTCGATTTATGTGTATGTGCTGTAAGTAAATTCATTTGTTGTACCACTTCATTTCGAAGGAAAGTTATCGAATTAAGTATGCAAAATACCTGCTTAAACAGTAACATTTCTAAGGGTATTATTATCTATTGAATATACATACATACATATTATATACTTAAATATAAAATGTAGAATCTAAAAATATCTGAAATAAAATAATATGTTCGAAGAGAAATCTATACGAAATAATAAATGTTTCATTCAAAACGGTACAAAGAAGGGCAGGTGCAATGGTCAAGCGTACAATAGTAATCATAAAAAAAAAAAAACAAGAAAAGTTTTTAGGCAAGACGTTAATACCAATAAACTTACTATTTTGACGTAGAATACGTCTTACCTTAAGGTATGGGGGCTATGTTCAAATGTTGTAGTTGTAATTTTTAGAGCTTCACAAAAACGCTTATTGCACGAGAACTAATAAAGCGATTTCAAAGAAAGGTGTGGCGTTTCAAAGATAAAATTCCAAACCTGCCGACAGATTCATTTTTGTAAATAACCAATTCGGTTTCTGTCGTAAAAACAACGGTAAACATTGCCTTATTTTGGGGTCAATTTTGAGCCTTTAAAGTGCTCTAGCAACTTATTGTTGGCATATATAACTTTCACTTTCGAGATATAGGTTCTTTGGAGCAGTAGAAATATTATCGGGTACAAATTTTATATAAATTTAACAAATATTGAGCATTTTAAGGCAAAAAATTGTTAAAAAAATTTGCAAATTTTTTTCATTACCAAAATGCTCGAAAACCGCTCGAATGATTTTGTTTTTGTTTCCTTTAATCAAAAATTCAAGAGTTTTCCTTTTCGTTTGGTATATGGGAAGTATTGGTTGATATCTTCTATATATGTTTATTTTATTCAAATATATGGGCATAAATGATTTTCCATACAAAATCACCTCGTCATCATTTTGCAAACACGTGCATATGTTGGAAATGTGGGAAGGAGACAAAAAGTATGTATGCGTATGTAATGCGGCTTTTGATAAACAGAGGCGCGCTATTTATAACCTAATCGCAGCGTGTGTACATATGTAAATACATACATACGTACATATGTTGATTGCAGTTAATGTGGATCTGTTTCTATTTTACTAATCTATGTATGTCTATACATACATATGTACATACATATTATATATGTACATACATATATGAACACATGTATGCATAATACGCGAAGACTTTTCGAAGTGAAACAACATTTAGAAAAAGTCCAATCCAAGAATAAAAGTAAAGGTGAGGACGTACATAGATAAAGAAAAGGATAGAGGCCAAGGTAAAAATAAACACAAAAACAAAATTGAGTAAAGATAAAGGCAAACATGAAGACCAAGGTAAATTTAAACACTTTACTTATATGTATAAGTGCAAAGGTGAAGGGGAATATGTATATGAAGAATATGATAAACATAAAAATAAAAACAAAGCTGTAGAAAAAAACAATGGTATAAAATAAAAATAAAAATAGGGCTTTCGCTTATATTCTCATTGAATTCTTTTCACTTAGAAGTATGTAAATTTGTAAAATTTTGGAAAAACCCTTTTTTTCTTAGTGTGTGCTTTCGTTTTTGACTTGGATATGCTCTTAACCATACCACGTATTCTACGTTTAATTATAGCGGCTGTATCTCCGATACAGCCTGCAGACCAAGACGAAGGCGCTGGACTGTTCCTTTTTTATTATACCGAATACCCACTAGGCATTGAAATGTCAAAAAAATAGTCCATTAAAAAAGCCATTATGACTAACATCGCTAACGTAATGGCACGGGTATTAATCAATTAATTAATATTTTCGCATTTCAATACCAGTGGAAACCCGGTAATAACCTCGAAGAATAGTTTTTCAAAACGAAGTTATTTTAAAACAAAACTTTTCTCCTTCAGTAAAACTTACTATTATTATTATTATTATTATTGTTGTGCCCCCTTCATGGATTATAGTGTGTCTATTAATCCAGTATCCGAGAGAAACTTTAGTATAGAACCTAAGTCTACGGATTTCACTTCGCCTTTGGTTGTCAGATGTTCACCCAGGTGCCTATTGCGTTTATGCATCAGTGCAGGACATTCTTCTAAGATGTGCTGTGCAGTCTCGTTTTTCATCCTGCAAAATCCGCATCGCTCATGCGAGTAAATTCCCAGTTTAGTCAGGTGATAGTTCAGCCTGCAGTGTCCTGTCAGAATTCCTGTAACAATTCTTAAGTTATTCTTTGATAAGATCATACATTCCTTGAAGCGTTTTAGGTTATATGTTCCTAAAAGTGCTTTGTACTGCACTAGACCTGGTAGATTATCCCAGTAGTGATTCCTCTGAGCTTCTTCCTCTAGCCGAACTAGTTCTGAGCTTCTTCCTCTAGCCGAACTAGTTCAGATAGCGCCCCTTTTCCCAAGCCGCAGAATGGTTCTGGACCGGTGAAAAGGGTTGATGCACCTTTCTTCGCTAGTTTATCGGCAATCTCGTTTCCTTTAATACCAATATGTCCCGGAATCCAGAGAACCCAAACCCGATTGGTCAGACCAAGAGTATTCAGCTAAGTCGTTGAGGTTTTTTCCAGTTCAATGGAATATTTCTGCGACTTTTGTATACATATTTAATTTTATTTCTTAGTTTATCTTAAAACATATAAAGCCTTATTCCGAATTCCGAATAGGCATTGAAATGACGAAAAATGTGTACCAGTTAACCCTGCTTTGATAACCCTATTGAAAGATGCTGAGAAGGTAATCATACGTCTGTGAGACATACATATCATGGTTTGAATGAATGAGATATGGAATTTTAAAATTTTTATTTATTATTTAAGTGCATTTATAGAAATATTTTTCTTTTAAAATGGAAATACCACCGATTTCAATCTTCATTTCGCGAAAGAGAGAAAGAGAGCGCGAAAAGTTTGACGTATGTAGGTTATAAAAGGTTTGTTCGTCGAGAATCCAGCAAGAATTATCCAACACTCAAAATATCTGAGAGTAAGAAAAAATTCTCTCAAATTCTCTATGATGTTGAGAAACTTGCAAATTTCTGCACGAACGCAAATTTGCAGGAATTTGCAAGTTTCCCTGCCAGCTGGCGTCCACGGTTGCATTTCAAACATAAACAATTTTTATAGAATTTTTAAAATTCGTTCGGATGGCCAAAAACAGGATATCGCTAGCTTAGAAAGAAAAGTTGCTAAGTCCCATTTTAAAATTTTTAAAGGAGAGGAAAAAATGTTCCTATAGCCATTTTCTTTAACTATTTCGCAAGACTTTGAATCAAACATTTTGCGCGTTTAAAGCAAAGCAAAACTCCATAAGAATCAGAAGGATTCGATATTTATTAAAAGATGTCGTATTATTTTGGCCTTATGGGATTTGTGGTGCTTCTTTTGGACTTAGCAAATTTTCCTTTTATTGCTTATGAAGAGGAAAAAATAAAACAAGTACCTTTATAATTTTCGAAACGATGCGTATTCAATTTCTCTAGCCTCCTATATCAAAATATGAGTTTTCATTAAAAGTGGACTTAGCAACTTTTCACTCTAAGCTAGCGATATACATGTATATATCTTGTTGTTCTGACTTTCTTTAACATACATTTCAATTTCTTCGCCGTACTAGCTGTCGGGTTTCTTAAATCGACTCTGGTTGCAATTGCATTCCGATTGCGAATACCATTTTTTTCAGCCGAATTAAGTTCAAAACATTGGAATCAACTAAATTAACTGGCAAAAAAAAGTATGAAACCTATCATCGTTTAGAGTGCAAAACCGCGTATCAACAAAACGCAAAACCGCGTATCGGCAAAATGCTAAACCGCGTATGTGAAGCTGTAGAAATTAGTTTCTAAAGCGTAAAAACACTCATATTTCAAAATGGTTCTCTTTTTTATAATGCAATCGCATTTCTGGCTAGTATATTTCACGACGAATGGATAAGGATTGAGCCAAGGGCTTGTGTGAGCAAATCCAATTTGTGGCAGCCAATGTCAGTTACGCGGTTTTGCAGAATGACGATACGCGGTTTTGTACTTTAAACGACGCTATGTATGATTTTGAGTTTTTCTTCGCTATGAATCAAACGAAGTTCCCCGATTTCTGCTGACCGAGCAGTAATATTAAGCGCTACTGTTAAAATGATTACCATCTTAAAAACTTAACAGCGAGATCGCACCATTAATGAATTTACAATATCTGGTTTAGCGTTTTTATCACTTTCATTTATTATGTAAATTATATTTATTTAATATACACATTTTTCATAAAAGATTAAATTTCCAAGATTTACAACACTTTAAACAGCTTTACATTTTCTTTCCTTCTTGCATAAAAAGTGTGTATAGTTCAAAACTGTTTATATAGGTTTGTTAGTAAATATTTGCTAAATAGTTTTATATGTATGTATTGTTAGTTAATTTACAGCATCTTATTAAATGTTTTGAAGGATTGCAAAACAACAACATGAAAAGCAATTTATTAAAAGAAAATTGTAGCAATACAGAAAACAATGAAGGCATTTTGAAATCGCAAAATCTTAAACCCACACATCGAGGAGGCTAGATGTTAAATAAGTAGTTGGGTTGCCGGTTCTATGCTTGCATGCCCTCTAATTTTATATGTATGAATAAAAATTCTTGCCACAATTTTGCAGTATGTGTTGCAAATTTTCTGATTCTACTCAATACCAGAAATGATGATTAAGGTACTTTCCATTTTATCTGTTCTATTTCTTGTTCAAAGTGTGAATATACACATTTGTTTAATAAGTGATGAACTAAAATTTTTTGCAATTATGAAATTTTTTACAAACTCAATTATTATGCGTTTAATTTTTACAATACTAAAAGCCGCATATGTAGCTAAAGTGCCTTGTGCTGCATTCCCGACTCGGGACTGAGTCGAAGAAAGTGGCAGCGGACATAATTTGAAAAATAAATAAGCAAAATACGTTTAAGGATATTTTTAAAACAAAGATAAAGATATACAGTATAACGGTTTACAATAATAATCAAATCATAATAAAAAGAAAACTATATAATTTTGGGACTTGGATAATGGAATGTTTTTTTTTTTTGTTTTGAAATGGTATCCTGAGGAAATACATTTTTTGTTGATTATTGACATAAATTAAAAAATAGTTCAGCACAAAAAACATTATTTTCATTATTTGCTCTTGGAAAAAGGCAAATTATACTGCGAGTTTTACAAAGATAGTTTTGAAAACTATACATATTTTTTACGCCGATATTTGCAGACATCGCTTGCTTAATTGTGAGAAAAACAAAATCAACAATAAAGACGACGCTGATGATATTGAAGGTGATGACACTGAGAGAATGTGGTCGATGCAGCCTTTTTATTTTTTCTTTGCTTCGCTTCCATTACAATGCTATGTACATTTTCTATTGTATTTTTGTTTATTATAGAACTTGCGCTGACTGCACCTGCTAAACTACTGTGCTTGATGAAGGTGTAACTTAAGCCGTAAAAGGGCAATGAACTTTACATGTGATTGCAATTTGAATTGGTATGCACTTGTATGATTTGTTTTGCTGTTCCCCGGCATACTGTTACCAAATTAATTGGAAGTCGCTCGGCTGTTTACGTAGAATTGTTGAGCGGACAATAGAAGTGTAAGCACATAGATGCAAGCTGCGATCCAACAGTTATAGGCATTCTAAAATGAAAACCAAAAACCAAACAACCAATTAGAATGATCAAGGTCACGAACAATAGACTCGTGATTGTTTGATCGCACTTGATACACAGTGGCATTGAAATTCAAGAACTAATTTTGGCTTTGCATTTTACACCATACCTGGTTGTATGCTGCGTTGGCTGCTGTATAAAATTCCTCAACCGAATGAAACTCTTCACCGATGGGTAGATCCTCAATCAACGCAACGCTGTGTATAAAGAAGAATACTCCCATCAGTACCTGAAACAGATAAGTGGCCAACACATTTACACGAATTCATAGATAGGCAAGGTTTTCACAATTCCACTTTACAAACTATTGCAGCATATTTTTATTATTTTCGTCTGTGGCTTTCCGTTGGTTACTCACCAATTGTATGATTCCCCAGACGGAGATGATCAAACCGCAGAGCGACAATTTGGGACCACAGATTTTCATTTTGCTGCTGTACTTGTTAGAGTGGTGCTGAAAGGTTGCACTGTGATTTTTCTTCCTGAACTTCGATAGTTTTCCACGGGGAAAATCTACAATTTTTCAGCCGTCGCCCAATTGCTGTTGAGGAAATTTGCGAAGAAAAATGTCAGTCAGGTGAAAAATGTAATCACATGACAGCAGTGCGAGTGCTGTCGGGTTTGACGATTGGTAGTGGGCATTTGTTTCGCTGGCATTTCAATTGAGAGATTTGTGCGTAATGAAAATGTTTATATAGTAATTCAGTTTGTTGTAACTTGCAGTCCTTTGTGTTATTTGCTGCATGATTTTAAATTTTGTTATACATATTCCTGAAATTTATATTCAGTATTATCCAACCAGGAGTGGTATTGCAATTAAAATGTAAAATAATAACTACCGTCTGGTAACACTTTTGGAGATTTTTGATTCACAATGGTAGAGTTTAAATTAAAGGTGGCAGTGGCAAAAATAGAACATCGATTTATTACTTTAATTCGATGCATTCAAATGAATAGAATCGATAGTTTTGACTACATCGATGCATCGAGTTGTATTGGATTCCTCAGAAATTATTTTAGAACAAAAGAGCATACATAAATTGTACGTAATTTCAATTAAATTACTCTAATGAAGCTAATTATGTTTCAAGCGAAACTTGTGTGTCAGTTCTCAAAAAACATCGCTGCAGTGAACAAAATGTTCGATGCATCGAAGAAAAACATCGATATTTTTGATGCATCGATGTTTTTCCGACTTTCCTATTCCAAACACAACGAAGACAAATAAAATAAAGAAAATAATAAAGTCGAGAACAACAAAATCCAAAGTAAATTAAAATCAAGTAAAATAATCAATGACTTCGACGCATTAGCTTCATAAGCCTGAGACAATATCCATAGAACCACAATGCCAACAAACATCTACCACGAAAGACAGACCCGCCAGTTGTGCGCCCTTCATACACTCAATAATCTTTTCCAAGGTAGTAGTTTGTTGAATCATTACTGTGCATTCGGTTAACTTATTTATCATAGGTCATGAATCTTATACAAAAGAACAGCTGGATCAAATATGTAACGACCTCAGTCCCAACGTTTGGATCAATCCGCATCGTTCACCACTAGGTTTGGGAAACTATGATATCAATGTTATAATGACGGCGTTGCAAATCCGGAATTGTGAAGCCATCTGGTTCGATAAACGCAAGTAAGTTAATTGTATTAGAATTGCAATTCTGAATTCATTTGTTTAAATTGTTCTGCTCTCTAGAGACCCGTCCTGCATCAATTTAAAAGCCATTGTCGGTTTCATTCTAAACGTGCCTTCAGATTACAAATTCGGATTTGTTACGTTGCCATTGCAGAGGCGCCATTGGATAGCAATACGGCGAATCGACGACAAATACTATAATTTGGACTCTAAATTGCGAGAACCTGAATGTATTGGCAATGAGACTGAACTACTATCCTACTTGCGTTCGCAGTTGGAAACAAATAAACGTGAACTGTTTGTAATTGTGGAGAAATCAGTGGTGGTTAGTGAACATCAACAGCCATATTGGTTAAACGGAGAACCAAATGGAATACATCATAGTAATATCAACGAGTCAGACTGCACAACCTCAACGTAGAAAGAACGTGTAGCACTTTAAAAAGCTCTCTAGTCGTTTTTTCTTATGTAATTAGAAAATACTTTTAAGTAAAAATGATACAGCTCAAATGTGAACATACATATTTCGTGCAATTAAAATTTTCCATATAATGCTGGAATACTATTTTCACAAAGTAGTTCTTAAGGGTCTTAAAATGAGTTCACGCTATTACTGTTGCGGATTGGCGTAACATAAAATGTACAATTATCGAACAAATGCGCATAACGACTTAACACATATTTTAGTAATGCATACTTTGTTAAACACATTCATTCAATCTTGAAGTAAAACTATTCATATTAATTGTCTATTTAAATTTGTGTGTAAAAACTTTATTAGATTCTGTAAAAATTATACATAAAAGACATAATTTACGAATAAAACACTATCGAAACACAATCAAAGTAAATTTCTTTGTAAAATATAAAACCATGTAGAAGCAATATTCGAGCAGAGATATGTAGGTATGTATGTTCGCCAACTTTTGTTATACGTGTCGCTAAGTCGTTATCTAAACATACTGGTTTTGTTTAACTTAATTATAAAAAATATTTGTGGAATGTATACCGAAAGCATACCAATTATTTTGGTAAAATAAAAGAAATGGACGGTGGTTAGATACTTCGATTTTCAAATATGTTATACATCACCGAAGTATTTTTCAATTTTGTGCTTGAACTTGAAGCCTTGAACTTTTTATTTTGACGACACATTTGCGCTCAAATATCTGTTTGTATGCCTCCCGGTGTTGGAACAGCAGCTGCCGCCGCAGCAGCGGCAGAAGTACTCTGACCAGGAGGTGGACGTCTTGGTCTAGAAGATGGCTCTGGCGCGAAATACTGTTGAGCCTGTTGCTGGTAGTAATCGTCGGAGGGTCCACCATATTCACTCACTTCACGATTACTGATTTCATTTAGGTGACGGTAACGTTCCCGGCGCGCTTCCACTAAATACAATATACCTGCTGGTAGCAGCATTACGCCACCAACCACAGCTAGTGCAAATGACCAGCCCATATCGTTGTTTTGCCATCCCGGCATCCAATCTCGTGAGTCACCGTTTGCACCGAAAATGACAACCGCAATAAAACCGAATATGGAAGCGATTACCTGGCAGGAACCAATTGTAAGAAGTAGGACTACGTAACGATCGTCATCCCGTGAAGTGCGCAAAAAGGCCAAGGTCAGTGGCAATGCAATAAGGCACAGGACAAAGCATAGTGTGGCAAACGCTTGGACAGCAACATAGAAACTTGGCAGCAGAAAATCGTGGATAATATAATATTCCTCTTCGAACACCCACATGCAACCCCTGAAGACGACATCGTAAAAGCGATGTATATCCTGGAAGTGATTAAAACACACCTCCCAAAGGCCAAGATTTGTAAAGCGTGGATTCGCAATGCGTCCATCTGTGACCAGCCAGTACGGTGACACGAATGCTATTAGAAATAGAAGAAAGGATAATGCTGAAACTCCAACGGCTATGCGAGTCGTACGATTACTGGCGCCCATTGTTCTTTAATACTTGAAAAAGTTTATTTTCGTTTTAATATGATTTTTAAGAGAATAAACTATAAAATTCCTCCTGAAAACAAACTGTTTTGGTTGCTTTTCCACGCCCTACTAGAAAATCGTGATGACACACTGGCGATAGTGATGCCGTATTAAGTGTTTTGTTTATCCTCCTATTCTAACAATATCACAAAACTCAGCGCATCACTATTGTGAATTCTACTGCGCCTGAAAATATGCCATACAAATTATGTATCTCAAATTGAAAATATTAAAAGGTGCCAATAAAAAAAAAATTACTTTAAAAATCCATTTAGAAAAACTGTCGCTGAGTGTTCTTTGCGTTTTCTTTTTTTCTGAGATAAAAATTTCGATTAATATGTACAACATTGATACCATTTCGAAATAGCTGGTTTGTTGCCGTGTTTATCAAGGGTTAGCAGATTTTATTGTAAAAGCGCGTTTCTCCGCCGCGCAATTTCGACACTATTCTCAATTCAAGCTGAAATCGCGATACGATTTTGATTTGGCCATACAAAAAACTGTCACCTGAACTCGCGTATGTATCTCAAGACGAAATTGCCCAACCTCATGAATACAACTCTGAAAATTGCTTATTGTGAATTACTTATGAGCTAAAAGAAGGAAAACAAACGTCAATAACAAGCAAATAAAAACAAAACAACCAAGCTGAGCAAAACAAAACTAACAAAACAACAACCATCCAATAAACAAACTGTCATCGAAATTGAGATAGCTGTGTAAACAGCTACAATCTCAAATTTAAATTGATTGTCGAAATTTCCAAAAGCCCAATTTCGGGCTTGTGGGAACAGACTTTAACGGCCAATTTCAAATGAATATTTAAACATCACTTAAGTTTAATTGTGGATTGTTGTTGAAGGGCCAATTTCATAATGAAACACTTAAGGTTCCATTTACAAAAGTTTCCTTTCAGTTAAAGTGTAATTTAAATATACTTTAAACAAGAATTTTTTTCATAATACAGGTAAAATGATGCAACAAAATGCTTTAAAATGTGTTGTCATGTTGAATTAACTCTTCTTTACTTGAATAAAAGTGTAAAATAGTGGTGCTTGTGATGTAAACAAATCGTCAGCTGACGAACCCGCTTTCACAAACTTTTTTCTCAAAACCAGTTACAAATACAACGTCGCGTTCTTACGTGATCTTGTATTTTTGGTTCATGATGTATCTTGATATAAGCATTTGTAAGGGCACTATCACACGGTCAGTATTAATTGACGTGATCCAAGTATCGCAATATTTATTGACGGTGTAGCATGCAGTATTGATGGATCGTGATCCATATCACAAAATTTCTAAAAAATTTTAAATCTGGATCACGGATCGCGATACCGTCAATAAATATTGAACGTGTAGCATAGCGATCCATACATTTCGTCAGTACATCTTTTACTTTCAAAATGTGAACATCGGCTCTGACTTTGCTCTCGGGGCTTAAAATCTTTCAAAACAAATTGAACAAATTTTAATTAACATTGGAAATTTTAAAATAATTGTGGAATCCATTATCTGTAAATTATACGTACAAAATAAAAATATTTTCTTGCGACATAATAAGCGTTCAGCACAAAAATTATGCAAATACTGACGCGATAATTATTGAACATGTAGCATTCGTGCGCGATCCATCAATCCATCAATATGGATCGCGATCCAAATATCGTGGTAATTACTGTCCGTGTGACAGAGCCCTAAGATAGCTTCTAAAAGGTATTTTCGCCGAATATAATCGCTTAACAAGTTTAGAAAATCTGCTATTTCATATGCAAATACATTATAACAAATACTTGATTAGAAAATAGCTCAATTTTTCTTTTTATATTAAAATATCAATAATGTTAACGCCATGAAGTTCTCGTGCAAATGAAAATGCAGCTCTCAAACTACCAAATTGCCGGAAAGAGATGGCAAGACATAAGCTCTGATATATATTGCTCTTAACCCTGCGTCTTCATTTGTGATCAGCCGTCTCATGCGTACTCTCATTTTCGGCAACTTCTTTTTTGGTGTTGCCTGTTGCATTCACATAGAGCAGAGCGAACCGCTAACTTGAATTACTCAGATGAACGAAAACACAAAGCTTGTTGCCCGAGCACTAGCCGTGGGTAACATGGTGCAGCGCCGCGCCATTGCGCTGATACCGAGAGCTGAGGTAATGGCGCCGATAACGATTTTCACAACTCAGTGACGCAATGGCGCCAGTAACACCGGATCACTGACAACACCGGGCGGCGCAAAGAACCAGTAAATAACACACAAAAACGAAGTGTCACTTGAAAAATGTGCAGCACAAGGCAAATTTTTACAAGGTGGTGTTGCTAAAATTAGCCGCGGTCCTTCTGAATGTTAAAATTATGTGTTTGTTGTATTTTTGGGTTTTGAACTTGCGTATATTTGAGTTGTTTTTGCCCAACCGATACCATCTTGTATTAATTCACCTTCGTTCAACACCAAAACACTGACAACACCGGGTGTAGCAAAGAACCAGCAAGAACACCCGAAATAGAAGTGTCTCTTGTAAAAAATGCATCACAAGGCGAATTTATACAAGGTAACGCCCAAGTTTTATGTGGATGGGCCCTATGTTCCATGTGGGCCGGCTTACAGTCCACCATCGATTATTACCCGCCGTCATCTCCACCAAAATAAACTACTCTGAAGAATTCTGCAAATGAGAAGCCTAACAACAAAAAATGACAGTTGAAAGCAAGAGATGCTCGTTATGTGAGAAAAAAGTATGCTTCATGCTCTTTGCAGTATAAACGTCCGAGATGTCGCATACTTAATCACGCAAGCGAGATTTGTAAGCACATGAAGACGGCTAGTAAAATATCGATAATATATGCCTTACCATCGATAATATCGAGTACAGATAAGTATCGGGCATATCCAGTTGGAGACGCACCTGATGTTTTTTAGCTTTTGGCAAGTTATTCTCCTATAAGCATTGAAAAATGTATTTTTAAAAGGGAAATATTGTGATTTTATTTATTTTAAAACAAATTATAAGTATTAAAAGTGATCGTGAACAAATATCGGTCGCTCTGGATCAGTTTAAAACCTTGGGGGTACTTTGAAAAACAACCTTCGATTGGATATCTCTACCACCAGACTGTTTGTGCAAACCGACTCATTAACATATACATACGTAAAAGCAGTCCATTCAACTTTTGTAAAAACCCACAGTGATTAATAAAAGGAACAATGGCTTCCGATATAGAAATTGCAAACCTCAACAACTTTGAAAAAATACAGAACTTTCTCAACGATTCCGCCTATAAAGAGATACTGGAGAATAGCGAGAACTTCAACACACGTTTGTGCATTGAACGTCGACTGCGTATGCCGTTTTTGGATCCGCAGACGGGTGTCGCCCAAACGCATTGTGCTTTGTTCATGAAGCAACGTCAACGTATGCCTGGCTTCCGCGATGGTCAGATCTACACGTATCCATCAGCTCGTTGGCGTAAACCCAAACGCCAGTACTTACTCAATCATCATCACAGCTATAGGGCATACCAGTATCGTGAGCCTCACTATCACCAATCAACCGGTAATACCTCGGCGCGCGATCATTATCAAGCAGAAAGTGCAGGTATGTACATAAATACATATGTATATAAACTATAAAAGGCTTAAATTGATACGCATATGAAGTCGTAAACGCATACCAACGCCTAAACTGATTAAAAGAGGAAAAATCAATAAGAATGAAATTGGGTAAATTAGCAACTTACCAACAACTGGTCAACATTTCACTTTTACCACAGCCAAAAAAGAAACCGCAATGTAGTTAAAAACTCTTATCCTTAAGTTGAAGCGAAAATTTTCATCTGTAATTTCCTTGTTTGTATGTTTTTCTATCTTCTGTTTCCAGCTATCGTCGCTGCCGACGGCAATTCAATGAGCGCTTCGGGCGATAACGACAGTAAAGATTCTCACGCCAATGCTGAAAAAGATTGGTTCCACGAGGACATAGATATGTCTCACTATCACCATGTTGATGACTTCGAAGAGGACTTTGAATCGGACAATGATTTCGATGAATCGTATAGTAGCCGTGGCAAACGTAAACGTGGTTCACGCTCCGCTCGCAGGAGCACTGCTGCTGTCGATGGTACACCAAAGCGGGGTCGCAAAGGAGGCGGTGTGTATCACGTGGCACATGAAAAGCATTTTATGAATTTTAAAAGTCATAATTACTTGTTTTCTCATGCAGGCAGTCGTCGTCGCAATAACGCTGATGGTGAAGGCGGCGGCCGTCGACGTGGTGGCGCGAGCAATGCCAACAACAACAATGCAAACACAGCTGCTGCTGCAGCCGCAGCTGCTGCCGCTGTTGCTGCTGCAGCTAGTGTCGTGGCCTCCAGCATGGAAGTGAGCAATTCGAATTCAGCTTCTCCAATCGGTACAAACGATGAAACATCACAGTCTGCAATAGTAATACCACCTGGAACGGCAACTGCTGCTGGTACAACATTTGACAAGACTTTAAGCGAAGCTAATATAGTTGCTGCTGCTGCTGGAAGTGTTGCTGAGACCGCAACGCCTGTACTACCCAGTACAAGTGTCGTTAGTGGTGCTGCAAGCGCTACCACGGCACCATCCGTCACTCCTCCAACGACAGTAGCAGCAAGTGCAGTCACACCACCAGTAGTAGCCGTTACTGCAGTGAAGAAAGATCTTAAAAATAAAATGCGTGCTGATCGTGAGGTTGCAACTCCTTCAACCTATTGCGACTTCTGTTTGGGCGATCAACGCGAGAATAAGAAGACCAACTTGCCGGAGGAATTAGTTTCGTGTTCGGATTGTGGCCGCTCCGGTCATCCATCTTGCCTACAATTTACACCAAATATGATAATCTCAGTGAAGCGTTATCGCTGGCAATGCATCGAATGCAAATATTGTTCCATTTGTGGGACTTCGGATAATGACGATCAATTGCTTTTCTGCGATGACTGCGATCGTGGTTATCATATGTATTGTTTGTCACCTCCATTGATAACACCACCGGAAGGATCATGGAGCTGTAAACTTTGTATGGAAGAGTTCCATAAAGATGAGAAATAATGGAACTACACAATGGAGCAACGACTTCCAATGAACACTGCTTCCAATAGAACAGCCACAATGAAAACAGCCGGAGTTGAATTGATGTACACCGATATCTGGACTTTGTTGATCTTCTGAAATTGACACGAAAGAGTTGCATTGATTCATTGATCAGCAGTTCTCGTTTAGAATTTTCTATTTGATTTAAAGTAAATACGTTGCATTAAGGGTTAATAATACTTAAAGTCATTTTTTTTTTTATCACACAGCGCATCAGGTATTCCTTAGCGCCGCTAACTCAGTTCACAAAACCTTGCAGAGTTTACATGCAAACTTTGTTTTATTTTAAAAATAATTGTATAAGCTGAAAACTTCACAAGACGGCAACTTTTCGTATGTATTTTAGATTTTAAATTAGTCTTAAGTTATCATGTCACTTATGCCGCTAACAATCTACGCAGTTGGCTCCTTGGTAAATTAGTATTGCATTAAGCATCGCCCAATTCATCGTCCTCAAGTATTTTAGTATATTTCTTCTATGTATATTCTTGTAAATTTTGTTTGTACTAAATACAAATAGGTATTGCAAAGTGTAATTGGCTTGATCCTATTCGTAAGGTTTTCTGCTTACGTAGTTTATTTCAAAACAGTTTTGTGTTTATATTCAGACAGGTTCTGCAATTCGCTTCCGAGTGTATTTCAACCACTGCCAATTTGAATTCAAAGCGTATTTGATTGAAATTCATTTGGAAGTTGATTGTAGAACCTGCCCCATTAAAATAAGTTCCTTTTTCGAAAATATGTATTTCTGTAAAGATTTCTAAGCAAAACAAAGTACCACAAAAATATTATTTCGAATAATAAATCCATATACAATCATATATAAGCATATAACCGTACGATCCAATGGAAAATAATGTATTTCATAAATATTTATTGGAATATAATCGCCGTCATTGAGCAATAATAATAAATCATGACTAAACCCAATGAACTTGTTTTAAATTCATTCAATTACCAAGGATTGTCTTTAGTAGCATATTATTGTTGAAACATAATGGCAAAGGATTCCAACGGAAATCATAACTATAATAAGATTCAAAATATGCCTATTTTAATTACATCGATATGTGGAAATTACCTCTAATGAGCATCGTTGAGCTTGAATACAAATTTCTATTGGGAATACGCACATGGAGCTACAGCTTGTACGTCAGTCTTTTTGTGCCATTTTAACAACTCAAGTTGAAAATTATTTTTTATTAATTTGAAAATTGCTTTTTTTCATGTACCCATTTATAATTTGTATTGTTTAATTCTTAACATTTTTTTTTTTAATAAAATCTACAAAAAATTCAGATTTATAAAACTGGCAGCAACGTTATGGAAGATAAATCGCAAATGCAAAAACAACCACAGATGCAGCAGCATGAAGAACCACAGCTGCACCACCAGCAGCAACAAAAAATGCAAGCAGGTGAACAATCACAAGATATCAATATTAATGAGTCGACGGCAGATGAAACTTCATACATGTCCATTCAAGAAGGATGTGAGCAAGTTGGTATTGAGGCCCACGCTGGCGTTGACGCCACCGCCTATGCTGACGCTGAAGTCGGAGCGGAAGCGGAAGCGAAAGTAGAAGCGCAAGAGTATTTGAATTATGAGCAGCAAGACCAACGTCACCACAACCACAACCGTTCGCACCGGCAGTATACCTCCAAGAAGAGTGTTTCCTTCAAGACCTTAGTCGATATCTTTCAACTAAGCGACGCTTGGCAATTGCATGTGAAAAAGAGTAGCTTGAAAACGGAAGAGGATCAAGCCAAACGTCGCATTTTGCAGCGCAACTACTAAGCACCTACCATACGATCGTTTCCGCGCATAATACTAGTGTGCGTTGTGAACTGATCAATGGCAATTGGTTTTATTTGCTTGAGATAGTACAAAAATTCCATGTGAACTATTAATTTGTGTATATAATAATAGATATATTCGTTTTTTTTTTATGTACGTATGAATGTATATCAATGGTGTTTAAACGCTCGCATATACCGCGCTCTTTATTTAGCTATCAATTCGTTTTCGTCAACTCGGTTGTAATAAAAAAAAAAAAAAATCAATATGTAGTTAAAAAGCTGAGGAAAATAAAATGTGGCATGCATGTAAAAAAATAAAATATGTATCGACAATGTTATCTTGGACCGCGTTTACTTACGCGACTTTAGAAGCGTTAAGTTCTCGCTTAGTGTATGAGTGTGAAATCACTGCAAAGCAATTAGCATTCGCACCTTGTTGGTGTCGCATGGTAAACATGGTAAACATTGTAGTATATTTATGCATCGTTTAAAAAAAAAAAAAGACTTTGAGGGAAGGTATTTTCTTTTTCTTAAATTAATGCATTTCGCTGGTTTGGCTTTTCTGCATTAGTTGTTCTTAGCTGCTCGCAATGGGCTGTTGTATTTTATGCTTCTTGTGTTTTGTGGTAATTTCTATAGGCGGCTGTATGCTGATAAATGTCAATGCATTGCAGAGGAATAAACGATTTCTTATTTTTCCTCGACAAGCGCCAACGCGTTACCAAGTAAAGTACATTTTTTCAATGCAATCAAAAAATGTTTAATCGTGAAATATAGTAATTTAGGGCCGATTTCTCAAGTAGGTTTTACAAATTAACTGCCCCTTTTGTTCTGAAAAAATGTGTTTAAGGGCAGACAAATTTTAAAACCTACAAGAGAAAACGGTACTTAGTAATTTAAGTTTAAGTCGGGCTGAAATGAAAAAAAAATCAACCTGTGTTGAGCAAAGATGCATATTGCGGTCAAAGTAATAAAATATATTTAAATTTTTTGTTTTGCTTAAAATCAGCCAGATGTTTTAGTAAACACATAGCGGTTAATTGAAATTAAAAAAAAAAATTGTTATGTGTGTTGCGTCTTTGGTTTAGTTCCGCATGAGAACAAAATGTAATGACAAGGACGTTTCCACAAACAACCAAAAGGGGAAAGAAAATATTGAGAGCATTTTGAACGGGAGCAAAATGAGAACAAAAAGTGAGAACGAAACTTGGAACGACAGTATCAAGGACGTTTTCAAAGAGGATAAAATAAGAACAAAAGTCCGGGGAACGTGCTTCTAGAGAACAAAACGAGAACTTAAGTTAAGAATGATAGAGGCGTCTGCATGTTATGTATACGAAAAATCGTTTGAGTTAGAACCATGATTATTTATTCTAAGCCAGAAGAAAGCTGAATCATTTCAACCTGCAGATCGTTTATCATTAGGGTAAACTGTCCATTTATGGAACCAGTTTTGAATTTCTATGCAAGAAAAGTTCGTGTCTTAAGTCTTTCGTTGACTTAATTTGCATAACTACCTTTCAGCTCTTTTTTGATTATTAATTTTAATATTTAAACATTTCGAACTATTGCAATGCTCTGTGATAAAAATTTGTCCGCGCTTCCATTCTTCGCGAATAGTTCAGAGAAGATTTGTTACCATTTTATTCTCTATCTGAAAGTTCCTGAGGCTTTTGTTCCCAAATTGTTTTTCGAGAGAAAGTTCCTTACACTTTTGTTCCCGTTTTGCTCTTCGCCAGCACGTTCCGGTGATTTTGGTTCCCATTTTGTTCTCTTTGTTCTCACTTTCGTTTTTGTGAAAACACTCCCGTAGGATTTGTTTCATCAGCCCAAAATTTGAAAAAGTATGGGTTTCAAACATTTAAAACAAAAAAAAATTACTCCAATAGTTTATTGGCGGCATTGGTATACCAGCAGATCTTGAATATGAGTCGCTTACCGTTGGTCATGTGTTGAAGGCCGAATATTGGCTGCCCTACAATGCGACGGTTTTTCGAGAAAATCCCTTTTGGCCAGAGTATAGAAATCCGTACAACGCCACATTTCCCATGTATGCACAACAGCGACGATCGACAAAATCGACACTGCGTTGGAATTTGTATTCGTTAATAGCGAATCGACTGGAAAGGTAGTTACACACAGACAAAATGCATAACCTTTTTTTTAGGAAATTTTTTTCAAGATTACAACTAAATAAAAAGTGAAATATTTTTGTATTGTATGTACATATGAAAGTGATAAAAAAAATTATAAAAATTATAGAAATATTTTTTATGGGAAAAAAATAGTTATCCCAAGAAAAGCAGTAACTTTTAAAATCTATTTGCAAGATTTTTTTTTTGTGACTTTGGTAGATTAAAATAAATCTCAGAAAAAAGTGCAGAATTTGAAATTAAATAAATTGTTTCTTTAAAACCTTTATCGAAGGAGTACTTTAATTTTGATTAAAAAAGTTGTTTCTGACAAATGTTGTTTTCTCTTAAAGCTTTGGCTACAATGGTCTCGAATGTGTGCTGAAAGCGATTTGTGAAACGAGCTCAATAGGCTTTCAACGGCATCATGACGTCTTTGCAAAACTTATACATATAATTCTGAGGTAGGTATTTATTTTATAAAAAAAAAAATTATATACGATGTATGTATGTATTTACAAATTACACTTTATTTCTTAGCCCGAGCACCTCTGCTGACAAATCGACGGCGGAAAGTTCGCATTACAAGCAGGCTGAGAAAATTGGTAAAATAACTGGTGATTGTGACTTTTATGATTGTAAAATCAGTCTGTTGAATTGGATATCAAGAGTGCTCAACATCGAAATATAAATGTTAATTAGACTAAGGATTGTTTTTGCATAAAGATAAGCCTAAAGATATGTACCATATAACTACAAATCTAATGTACTTATTGGGTACATATTTTCCGGCTTGTTTTTTTTTCATAAAAATCCGCTGTCGTATGATTTTTGCTTTTCCGAAATTATAAATTATTTAACGAATATCTTTAATTGAAAAAATAAAAATAAAAAATTACGATTTTGCAATGTTTCAAAAATAAATATTTTATTTTTAGTGGTTATTTTGGGTAATACAAAATGGTAAATACGACCCTCCTAACCTGAATTGGCACTTATTTTCTTTTATGGGGTAGTTTTCGGGAATTTCGGGAATTTTAAAAATTTTACTAGCTATAACCGAGGCCCAGCATCGTATGAAATACGGAATGTTAAAAAATTGGTTATCAAATTTCTCTCAATCAGTTCTTAAGTGGATAAACAATTTTTGAGAAATATTTGAGAAATTGTGTAGTTTCAAATAATAAAGAATGCTGAAAATCATTAAACATTTTCTCTCTTTTTTAGGACATCAAGTGAGTAGTATGTGTTGTGGTTTAAACGACCAAAGAAACACTTTCTCTTCCAACCCAATTTGACGTGAGCTACGTATATATCGTCGTTTAAAGTATAAGACCGCGTATAAAGAAGAGACAAAACCTCGCATGTGAGGTTGCCGAAATTTTACAGGAGAGGGTAACTTTCAAGAAAAAACACGAAGAATATAGAAACTAGTTTTATGTTTTATTTTCGTATCATTATTGATTCTTAGGCAATGTAGAACTGCCGTCTAAAAACACTTTCAAAACCACAAATACAATCATTAAACATTTATCTTTTCTCTAATCCAACTTTAACCGCATTGGGTGTTCTTATTATTATGCCCGTTTCGAATTGCAGGTCCTTTGGATCCATTAACGCCAACACTTTGAACTTCTTTAATATAAAAACTAATAATGTTTTCATCTCCAGCATAGCAAATTTTTGGCCTAAAATATACGAGTATATTGTTTATTTTTATTTAAAAAAAGTGTTATAAAATATTGAGCAACAATGACGTCACCTATGCAATTTCGCTGACCAGCGCTAAAGGGTATATACGCATATGGATGCCTGCCTTCGGAGTTTTCAGGTGTAAAGCGTAGCGGATCGAATTTATTTGGTTCATCAAAGTACTTTGGATTGCGATGTATATCGAAAATATGTATGGAGATTTGTGTGTCCGCGGG